AAAACGTTGAAACGTATTCTGCGAAACGGGTATGCAGGACTGTACGATACGGATATCGGTTTCTATTAGGAGCAAATGCCAAAACCGATATTCGTTTTGTAAGCTACGGATTTTTTTTAGAGAGTATGCAGATAACAAAGCTTATATAAAAAAAAGTGAACGAATGTAGCGAAGTAATATTGCAATGCATATGAAATCGCATACTAATAATTTATAAATATCTCATAGGCATTTGTATATTTTGTTTTTTCGTCATTCAGCTTTTGGTTTATGAGAGATATGTGCCAATTTATCATGTTAGTCGTACAATAAGCACCCTTTCTTCTAAAAATGTGGCATATATAAATATATAACTTATATATCATAGAAATTCGAAATTGCAGCTTTTTTATTTTTGCGATATTTATACATGGTTAGATAGAGCTCGTTGAGCTAAGTATGAATATGTGTGTTTTACCGTTTGAAAATTTTCTATGAGGTGGAAAATTTAAAAAAATCAAAAATGTTTTTTTTCAAAGTGTTTCGCCCATAGCTGAAACACCTCTTTCTGTCGCGTTAAAACCTTCAACTCAATTTAGTTAAAGGATGAAGCCAATATTTTAATATCGTTATGATCGACTCAAACCCACTAAAAAAGTTACGTATCGGTTTCGGAAAATATTGTTGTCGAGAAAATAAATGTCTTTAAAAACAGGTAGCAAAAAAGAAGAAAATGCAGTCGTATTTTGCAGTTTTTGACGTCAAATACCCATTTTTTGCAAAACTAATGCCATGTTTGGCATCAGCATCAAAAACTGAATCGGCTAATGCATGTTTCAGATCTTTTGGATACCTTTAATTTTTTCGAACTTTTTGACTGAGATTTTTGCTAAAAAGTCAAAGTTGTCCCAAAAGTTTTTTGAATAGAGTTCCAAGTGAAAATTTTATTTCCATTGATAAAAAACAAATGCCAATACAATTACGAGAACCCGCATCCAACAGCATCCACATAGGTGGATGTCGTTTCTGTGTCACATTACATGTTCACAGTTTGCTTGAATACATGACTAAGAAATCTCAAGTTTATATCGTTACTGTAAAGATGACGAGGAAGAAAGTATATACGAGAAGAGAGAGAAAGACCAAAAAGAGAAGGAGTTAGGACTAATACAAGGAACATAGCAAGACGGTATGTGAGAGGGAGGACACTCATTTAGTTGAGGTACCAGTCGTGAAAGCGAGAATCATAGGAGTAAGCGCGAAATAGAAATTTTTAGTAGCACAATGGAGTTGTGAAGATTATTTGAAATGTGCGGTGTTATTCATAAATTGACAAACTGCTTCATATCGCCTGGAAACAAATAGTTGCACTAGATTTTTTTAATATATCATCACTATAAAAGAATTGTAGATATAGACTGGCCTTGGAAAATACCTCAAGGACTATTTTGATATTCGTCATAGATTCAATTGGTTGAAATTGCAATTGGTCTAGAATAGTAAGGTGTATCTAAGGCAAACTCACAGCAGACCGCTTATTATACACCGTTGGATAGAGCGCATCAAGCTGATTAACAAAATGTATTGCTAATTTTTGAAAAAATCTTTTTCATGGGAAAACATTTAGAAAACTTGAAGAACGTAAAAATCTGAAAAATCCTTCAAATTCAAACAATTCAAATTTTTGCTCGTTTCGTCTGAGAGACTGGCCCTTCCGAAAGGACTGCCATTCAAAGATGGATTTGGCTCATTGATATCGGTCAAATTCGCATCCTTGACAAATGTGAATGGTGAACAAGTAAAAATGCTCAGGAAAAAGCTGAAATGCTGAATGAATATTTTGCGAATACCTGCTCCATGTACATGTTTAAAAATAAATTTTCAGATTTTTGCTCTACTATTGCTCATAATAACATTCTTACTCGGCGACAGAATGTTTGAATGAAGAACTAGATTCCTCAAGAATGAAAACAGAAGTAATGGTGAACCCATTAAGTATCAGATTTTTAAATTTTGATTTTTTTGAATTTTTACGCACAAAAAGATGTATCGAAATACGATTTAAAAATAAAATTCCAGTAATATATTATTTTATGGAATTTTTAGATTTTCAAACTTAGATGTCCCATAAATTTTCTTAGGCAATTTTCCATCATTTTGAAAGTCGTGCCGATTATTTTGCGAGGCAAATTTTTATGCTTTCTTCACAATATGCTGCATAATAAAAATATGTACACATGTGAAAATAATAGCATGATTTATTTAATATTCCCAAACGGGGATCGTGGTACGTAATGGGTTAATAAACAGACATAAAAAAGACAACCACTAATTTAACCGTAGTTTTTCCTTTTGACTCTAGTTATAATCATTTTAAACGTTTGATCAAAAGTTAAAAGAGGTATGTATAAATATGCATAATTGTGGGACTCTTCAATGAGCACTGATATTTCTCAGCATTGCATATTCTCCAAGTACTCTTTTACTTCAACTGTATTTATTCAACGGAAAGTTAACTTTCTTTTCTTAACTTTGTAACGAAAGAACATAAATTGTCTTCTACTTATGTAGATCATTCACAATGATTGGTATTTGTTCTCGTCGTCTATGCATTATTGCTTATACATTGTTCATGCTCTTAATCTTATATTTCAACCCAAGACGAGCAACAACAGACTCAGAACGTAGGCTATTTAGCAGTTTAGACAAAAAAACGTTAGTCTTATTCCGTCAACGAATACCAAACAATTGGCAGCTATGAACTGCAACATCGACGTGATAATTTAAACAGAATCAAATCAATGATAAAGACATTCAGTCATTGTTAATTAACTAGCAGGAAAATGTTACGAACTTTGGCTCTGAATTAGGTGAAAAAAGATAACAATAATCATCACGATAAATACTATGATTAACCACTGAACTGTAGGAAAAGTCAAAGTAGATAGAAAACTAGAATTCCATATCTTCTAGTAGAATTTAGAACATATCTTTACTCAGAATTTTGATAAGCTGGTCTTACTTGCTGGTTTTGCTAATTCATCCCTAAATTCCGTTAGCCCACTTAGGCTGACTATCCAGAAACTTGAAACACGTATCCTAAATTCTGATGAGAGATGTCATATTCTTTTGGGAGGAGTATAATCTCTAAACAGAGAAAAAACAATAATATAACCTATGAGTCATAAATAATTGGACAAATGTCGAGCATTATTTCTATATGTTCCTGATGTGCTGAAAAGTTAATTATTTTTCCGTTGGAAAGAGCAAAGTTCGAACTTCAAAAAACAAAGAAAATCAAACGTTTTGTGGTTGAGTTTGAGTGAGAAAACATTTGAATCTCAAGCATCGCCAAAAAGCTCTTAGTGTACTGTGGGGTAAAAAGAGTCAGTTCACGAAATTTTCGTCGTAATTTCACTATTTCTTCTCCGTTTTTAACTGAAAAAATTCGATATTCACCACGATAGTAAAGCCGACAATTATCTACACAATAGTACAAAAATTTCTTGAGAATTCATGTTGGTTTTCCAGATATATTCAGACGGGAGTCGACTGGTTGTGACTGACTCTTTTTACCCCACACGGGGTAAAAAGAGTCAGCTCACTTATGTCGATGGGGTAAAAGGAGTCACTCATTGAAATACATGGAGATTTTTTAAAAGCATCGTAACTCATTAACGATGAATGCAAATTAATTAAAAATTATATCACTGTGAAGCTCTACTCATCCTCTATCGAACCATATGATTTTGATCTTCACATCTGTTACCTTCATTAAGCTAATTAGACTACAATAGAACGTGTCATTTTTTAAATTTTATGCTTTGGGATAAAAAGAGTCAATCCGTTGAAATCCATGGAGATTTCAAAGAAGCATCTGTACAGACTTCCGAAAATCGATTTCAATACTACCATGAGTGTAAAAGTTGTTAATAATACCGTCATCTTTAACATATGCGAAAAGTGGCTCGTAATTCCTAAAAAGCAAGAAATTTTATGATATCCTAAGTATGTCTGTAATTTTTACCGTATTTTACTAATAGTCTAACTTATAATTTTAATTAACCACATATGAATTGTATAATGTTATGAGTTCTTAGTATGCAAGTTTTGATTCTGAATCGAATGAAAAAAAGACGAGGCTTATATCAAGTAAATCAGTCAAGATATTTTGCATATTTCTATTGTGAACACTGTTTTCAAACATATTTCTTTGACAAAAAGTTAGAATAATCCATTTCTGAACTTTACTCAAGATATGTTTGGCGTTGCACAATATTTGTGATAAAATGACAACATTGAAATTGATGATTACTCAGGTAGCTTAAGTGAGTTTGGTCTCTGTTGATTAAAATTATTCAGAACTATTATCCAACTTGAAATCATAAATTAGTTCTTTAAATAAGTAAGTGGCTATATAATGTCTTGTTCTGAGTCTTATTTCTAACTCAACGTACAAAAATGCCTCCAAAGTATGTTAAGTTCAGCAACATACAACAATATTCCCAAGAAGAAATTCAAACAGCAATTTATAGTATCAAGCAAGGTATATCTGTTCGACAAGCATCACATAATTTTAATATTCCATATTCCACACTTCAACGTCATTCAACTAATGAAGAAGAAAGTTTCGGCTCAGGACGGCAAACAGTATTCACAGCCGAAGAAGAAAATCATTTATTCCATGCAATAACAGTTTTAGAAGTAAGTTTATCGTTGTTTTCACTTATATAGATTCTTTCTTATATAGAAGAACTTATATAGAAGTTTTCTTTACTATTAGGAATGGGCGAACCGCTAATAACTTCCGGATTCTACATTTATTCTTCATGAAGAACACACGTGTGTAGTAAGAAAAGAAAAAGACATCTATATAGTCTAGTAAGTTTGAAACATGAGTCAAGAATTCGAAAAGAGCTCAAAAAGAAAAAAATCATCAACAACAATTTCACTACCATCTTCACCAACTGATTTGCAATCAACCATCAAGGAAATTCTAACAACTGAAACATTTGTGAAAGAAATACATGAAAAATTACTTTCATCAGAATTTATAAACAATTTATGTAGATCAATTGTAGAATCCGATATTTTTATTCAAACAATTGCAACTTTAGTTGATAATAAATTAAATGTGTATGAAACAAAATTGAGTGTATTAGAAGAAGAAAACAAACAATTGAAATCACACATTCATTCAATACAAGCCAAAGTAAATGATATGGATCAGTATTCTAAAAGAAAAGATGTGATCATTACAGGAATTCCACAGACACCAGAGGAAGATACAACAAAATTAGTCATTAATTTAGCTAAAGAAATCGGATTTGATTTAAATGTAAAAGACATCTATGCTAGTCACAGATTACCATCCAAATCTCAACCAAAACCAAATATCGTCGGCTTTCTTAGATATACGGATAGAACAGAATTGCTGAAAAGACGACGACAGTTGAAAGATGTGAATGGTTATCAAAAAGTATATATTAATGAACATTTGACAAAGCTGAATTTGGATCTATTCCATCATGCACGACAGAATTTACCAAAACATAATGTTTACACGCGCTATTAAGAGAACTTTCTCTGATCGACAAGTTTTTGGTTCTGTGGACTTATTATTTATTCTGCCTTATTCTTCTGTTTAGGAGGTTAGCCGCTATAAGGTTATACAGAGTTGTCTATTCTTTCACTTTACCATATCTATACACATTGTTCTAAATATATGCCCCTCCTACTTCATATGTCAACCGAAACGTTTTTCGTACACTCTTTGCGCTTATATTACTGTAGTATTATGGACTGCAGTCAGCTTTTTTCTTTTTTCTAATTATACTTACCCTTACGTCAATTCTTTACAAAGTAGTCCAAAATGTAAAATCAGAAGAAGAGGAGAGATTCACACATATGCCCGGTCAGATCACATTCATCTCAAATCACTTTTTTCTAGTCAATGAACATCAATGACAAAAGAGCAAGTGTTAGTTCGAACAGTAAAGAGAGTTGTGGTTTACTTTTAAACATAAGAAGTATGTTTTCTTCAATTAAAAACAGCTCTTCTGTTTCAAAGTACGAACTGCTACGAGAGTATATACGAGGGCTTGATGCACTTTTTGTTGGGATAGTAGAAACATGGTTAAATAGTAAAATTCAGACATCACAAATTGACGTGCCGGGTTACAAAGCTTTTAGAAATGATCGGGACACCTTAGGTGGAGCAGTTTCACTTTATGTAAAAGAAAATCTTATAACAAAGCAAGTAGCAGAAATTAAGGACGAAAAGTCAGAATGTATTTTTGTGAATAGTATAGTACCAGGTATTGAAAATGTTTTAGTTTCTGTATGTTATCGATCTTCGACAAGTATGGTTTACTTTTTAGATAAAGTAGATGTTTTAATAGACTTACGTAATAAGCATATAAGGACGGGGTACCCTTTAACCCGCTAAGAGATATTGAAAGCGATTGTTATCATTATGCTTAGAATTGCTTCAAACCCCAGGACATTGAAGGGTTTTCTCGACTTTTACAATTTTTTTCGAT